AAATTTCATTTCAATCATCAACTTTCTATTCACTGAATAAATGAGTTCAAATAGCCATTGACATGTTTATTAACGTATCTCTTTGTTTGTCTTAAAGGTTTGAATTTTACTGTCACTGATATTCATGGTTCTAATCCCAATGCTAATATCAACATTGTAATACAAGTGCAAACAGTTGATAAGTCCTAAGTAGGATTAAATGCTCGTTCTCAGTAACACTGATAGCCGCAAGAGATAAAGTTTAGAAAACATGTAAGGAAATCCAAAAACAATCCACGTATTGCACTAAAACCTGGTCAAAATTTAATTCTGAACATCAACAGTAAGATCATTTAACACATACCAATAATCGTGTTTAACATCAATGATTAAATTTAATTCAAAACCACCTAATGTAAATCACTTTCCAGTTTTTCCTGATCGAATCACGTCATTTCAAGTATACAGTTAGACAACAGTAATATTGATTTCTGCAAACGCCAAAATCGAGGAAATCTTCAGTATTAAGCAATATCGTTATAAGGAATTTCGGTATACATACATGATTAAAACAATATATTTCAGTGACAGAAAAGTAGTTTAAATTGTAATGTTCATATATTCGCTATCATAACAAAAAACATTGATATATAAAAGATCCTTGAATTCACTTAAAATAGTTCAACCATGTCAGGTGTGAGGCAGTTACACACCGACGACAATCCAAGATGTTTGTACAACATCGCTGATTGGTTGAAGCTGGACATTAACACCGTTGGATGCCGATCTAGTTGTCTAGGGTCTAAGCGTTCTCACATAAACACGAAGTCCATAGGCTTGAGTTCCACGCACGGGATCGTGAATACGCATTGCTAAGGAGCCCCATACTACAACGAAACGGCCATCCAGTGTTTCCACGTTTTCAAAGGTGGTTTTACATAAATAGGTTCATGATTTCAAAAAAATCTAACTATCTCTGCAACGCTATACTTATAATCGAAATTGGTTTAATTTAAGTAGGGTTTGTGATATATCACTGCAAATCTCACTTTTGAAATGAATTCTCTATTTGAGCATTTGTTTTAAGTAATGTTGTGTTCTCTAAACTGAATGGTTTCATTGTGATGTTTTTTACCATCCTGAAAAACATTTTAGAATTAAACGAGTTTTTTTCAATTAATTTCAAAAAATACGAATCCACTAGTTTAAGCTTGATGTCATTGTGACTATATGTGTTTGAAGTAGACGCTGATAATAAAAATGATAGTAATAATAATTTAATCTTTTTTTAAAGTCTTTGGATCACAGAACTCAACAGCACCAAAAGCATAGAACTGGGAAGAAAACGCTCTCTATTACATTAATGAATGTTTACGCAATCATATATATATGATCATACTACACCCTGTTTTTCCAATGTTTCTAGAAAATGATGCGATGTTTCATTCCATCGTGTAAACTTATTTGATGTTGAGAAAATAGTGACAAAATTGTATTTCACATGTAAATAATAATATTTGTTTATCGAAAATGAATACATAGGTAATGGGAAATATGGAAATTACATAGATTGAAATCATGAGTCCGTTGAAGCTAGACCACTATGGAAAACCTGGAAGCACAGGACGGCCGTTTCGTCCCAGTATGAGACTCCTCAGCAGTGCGCATCCACGACCCCGCACCTCGATCCGGTTTATTGATCAAAAAATCATTGATCATAAAAATCTATGAAAACGTGCTATAAACTGTAAAGGTCTATCAAATTGCTAAGCTTTTCAGCCGTACACGAAGATCATATTATTATTATTATTTGTCGACGGACTCTGTAAAACTGAACGAATGTGACGTTCGTCACTTTTCGAATTATTTTGAACGGTCAAAAGATTCTCATTCTATGTTCACAATTTTTTAAAGGTTAAGCCATCTCGCACATGAAATTGTTGCTTCATTTTAGAAACAGGGTTTTTGGAAGATAGAGGAAATTAATGAAATTGGTTACTTTCTAAAATTTAAACAAAGCAAGGACGAAAATATTTCCTGAACACGATGAATTCATTGTAACCTATTGCTTAATTTTCTTAGCTATGAATATGAATTGGTGCAAACATTATACCAAAAATCCAGAAAGTTACGTTCTCTAGAAAATTTCGAGGTAGAGTATATCATAATACACAAATATCTGTGAAGGAATGGTTACAGTCAATCAATTATGAATAAATGTAATAAGAAACACCCGAATAAGACAGAAGGATGTAAACCTGGAAAGATCGTTTATATTTGGCTGATCAAATAATCAATAAAATCAGTAAAAGACTAAAATAAGCTCTAAAATCCACAGTCTCTGCTGAGAAGTAGATAACATCACAAATAACATTAAGCTCGATGACCCAAACAAAAGTAGATAGATATCAGCAAAATGTTTTCTCCAAATGCGTACATCGATTCACAGATAAATGAAAAGCTGTGTACAATGGAAGGATAGAAAGACAAACAGATCCCAGGAGGCCAATACGTCCTAGGAGAAATTCAGTAACATGCCACCTGCTACGCGTGGGGCGTAATATGGGTCTCATACACACATTCAGATTTATCAACAGTCAAGTCCCAAGTTATTGAAATCCGCAGGACTTTTAGTGATTGTAAGGCTTAAACTTGATCTTTGTATTTGAAAAGAGTTGGTAGTTAATCATCAACTGCCTTGGTAGCGTTTTGGACTTTTTTCATTTTAATGTAATCGTAATTCATTTAATTGACTTAATATGTCCACTTTTTCTTCCTAAACTTCCAAAAAAATGTACACTAATAAAATAACCAACAATCCAAAACTATTGTCTTAAACAGTTATAAGAAGATCCCATAACTTAAGTCAGTTAAAGTTAACATTTTTAGGTAGAAATAAGTCTGCATATTAGCTTGTGTGTAGGTGAAAAAACGGAAAAATACCGTGAATTCATCGTATTAGGCAAAAATTGTCGTTTTTGCTTTGTTTAAATACATAGAAAAGTCTTTACACAATCCTTTCTATTTGGTTGCAATCCTAGACACGTGTAATTTCATAAATCCAAGTGTAGGTGCATAAATACCTATTAACACTTACCTCCTACGTTCAGAATGAACTTAATGTCTTCTTCTTCCATGTTGACTATGCTAAATAAAGTGTATCATGACTATGTTTACGAATACACAGTTGTGTACTTTCAGGCTATTTTCAACTTACAAAAAGCTTTGAAACACAATTAGATCGTTTTACGTTCCAAAATATATTTTAATTATATATCAACGGAACAGAAAATCAAACATTTTATTCTGTGCAACGTATACGATCACACTTTTCCAACCATATTTAGAAAAGAGATTTGTGAACAAATTCCTATTTCTTACTGGTAGTCAATCCATCAGTGCTTATGAATGTGATCAAATTCTTTAATAACATGATATGTCAGTTCAATAGCGTGCGTACACTTATCACATGGTGGTTAAATTTAATTTAGCGCCAGTCGACAAAACCCATTACAGTTGCTTGATTATTCTAAAACGTATTATGCATGAGTGAATTTCAGTGGATAACTCTCAGGAGTATCAAGCGAAAGACAATGAATCCAAATGTCAGTGTTAATGTGAACATTGAGATGTATACACCTCCAGCTGACGATTAGCAAATATTAGGCAACTCGTATCCTGGTTTCAATTACCAATCATTTCATTAAAGTTGTGTGTTTATAGTTTCATTGCAACCTTGAAAATCCAAAAAGTTGTTTGCCACATACAAAGAAATTTGAATTAAGTATAAAGTTTCATAAAATACTAACGTGATGGTTTTCGAATAATAAACAAATACTTGTTTCATTGGCATTACTCACGGACGATTTTGAACCATGAAGGAACATGATATTGTGTACATCGTATAGATGATTCATTGGTACTTAAATTTTGTAAACAATATAAGTTAATTATATAACAATTACTCCTCAGTAAATTGTCATTCACTTATTTTAGTTTTAGTCACGGTAGAAATAAAAAAATTTATTGCAAAACGTTTGAATAAACTTTTTATTGCGTTTTTGATTGAGATCGTAAACTGATTAGTGCTAGACCACTATTGAAAAGCTGGAAGCACTGGACGACCTTTCCGTCCTATTGTGGGACTCCTCAACAGTGCGCATCCACGACTCCGCCTCACGAGATTCGAACCAACGACCTGTGAGTTTCGCGTGCGTATGCTTAACATCTAGACCACTGAGCTGCCCGGCATCCAACGGTGTTAATGTCTAACTTGAACTAACCCACGAAATTGAGAGTCACATTCACCACTGTCTTCATCACTGTCACATAAGAATATATATGATAATTATCAGTTCATCATATTCGTATAATATATTCATTATTGAGTCATTGTATTGTAGACACTGTAAGTATTGTGTTTCTTATTTCAGATCAAGCTGTTTTCATATTTTATATAGCTTGTCTATAACACTGTATTCTAATGTATATTTCCACGTACCTACGGATTCATATATACTGTGATCTCATTGAAGAATAAATTTTCTTGAAATAAAATTTAAAGATGTTTCCCTACAGAAAACTGAAGTAGAAAAATTCTTTGGTCTAGAAACTAACATTTGTAATGCCAAAATTTTAGTGCCATATGTTTATATATTATGGAAGATATTTGGTTTTATAAATATAAAATGATGAGGAGTCCCACGGTAGGACGAAACGGCCGTTCAGTGCTTCCGGGTTTTTCATGGTAGTCTAGCTTCAATCGACTCATGGTATCAACTATTAAAATAAAAGAAAGTGTTTTAAATTCTGAAAACAAATAAAATATTCTTCGTTTGTGTAAGTGAACTTTCGTATGATATGATTTTTCTCTACGATTATTGATTACAGATTATCCTTACATTTGTCTTCTGATTGGTTGATTCCGTAAAATAATCATCATCTTTGAATAGCCAATCAAAATTCTAGTATCAAATAACATTTAAGTTGAATTATCTATGTATCATTAGGATTTTAGAGTACACGTGTTCCATGAATGTAAGTGAATCTTTTTTTATGAATGCATTACATATTGTGGTCTTCATTACTATTTTTTTTCAACCTTAACATTATTTATAAACCATAGATGATGAAGTATTTTATTACAACAGTTGATGTTCAAAAGGTTATCAAAGTATATGTTATCATACAATATAATAGTAATAAAAGATGTATATTTACATTCATAGTATTCGTTTACCAGTCAACATAGATATGAAAACGTATCGGACAGTTTTAATCAATCGCAATTGTTCATCGATAATATACTTAGCTTTAAGAATACAAGTTTTTGAAACAAAAATTTACGTGCTCAAAATGTAGTTGCGAGTCTAGAAACGTTATTAAACATACTTACCACTCATTATTGAGTTGCATTTGTTGAACTACTAACTTATTTAGTCAACAGTTTATCTTACACAAATAAATTATTAATTGACCGCCATGTTTTAAAATTCTCCATCATTCAACTTGGAATATTGTAACATTTGTCAATCATTTTATAACATAAGTCTAATATTTGTTTAGACATCAGTGAATTAATAGTTTTCCAATTCAAATTATTAATTATTATTCTAATTTATTGTGACTTTTACTTCATTATCCACTTATTAAAAATCAAATTGATTTATATTCAAAGAGGGATTTTGTGTACTTTACAGTAATTTTAATGGTTGAATTCATGAGTCAATTGAAGCTAGACCATCATAGAAAACCTATGATGAAACGAACGTCCAATTCTTACAGGTTATCCATGATGGTCTGCATTCAATTGACTTAGGAATTCAATCATTAAATTTACCTATTTTAAACCAAATTGTGAAATATTTTAAATGAACTAATGAAGATGGCAGTTTTTGTTTAAATCTCCATTCATTAGAATTATGTTTTATATGGATTTTGTATAAAATATTTGCCACATTCAATATTAAGTACCTAAATACATTTCATGAATTCAAAGTGTGTAAAAAACGTCATATTTTGAAATATTTTAATTTCTATTAAAATTTTGTATTTTCCAATTTATGAAAAAAAAATCATTTTATTGATGTTTTGTTATTTAATGCCAACAAATAATGTTAAACTAAGATTAATAAAAGGTGAGACTGTAATTTCTGGACGACTTTTCAGCGACGCTAAAGAGATCTTGAGAACATCCACTTATATACTACGGTTAAATGAGAGTTATAAACCAGTGTGAAGAACTAGGATTATTATTTACAGTTGATAGTTAAGGTATAATGTCAAAACTCTATTCAGTCAAATGAATGAATTAATTTCGCATCAGAATTCATGATATGTTATCGTAAATCTGATTGGTTCGTCCATAGTCTCATCTTAGCAAAGCTCTCAACCTGTATAGAGTAACCCGACTATAGTTCTTCTTTATGAAGTTATCGCGCATTGCTAATTGAATAAACTGATAAAGCGATTAGACCTAAATAGCGAAAAGTCATTAAAACAATTTTGTTTTATATTGTTTTTATGTTCGCTCATTGAAAATATAAGTTTCCAATAATAATGGATATTATAAATAAATTAATATATTTATAATATACCAATCAGTAGAAAAATTAAATTTTCTGACGTTTCGTGACTTAGTGTAAGCTCCTTTCTTCAGAGAATAAATAACCAAATTAATATCAATCCAAGTTTAAATAGTAAAATAGAACAACCCTAAGGATATTATGATATTATTATGTAATATTAATGAATATCGTTGAATTAATGCTTAAATTTATTGTATCATTAAATTTGAATTTATCTTTGACAACTATGGTAGTTGTCAGTTGTCATTTCTATTATAATTTAATCATTACGAAATTAAGTTAATAATGAATGTTTAGATTGAGAATATACTTTTTTTATCCGAATATAAAGTTATTCATTGACCAGAATAAAATTATGTTATATTCACTAAACGTTAACAAGGTAATTTGTGTAAAATTATAATCAGCTATCACACAATAGACAATACACAAGAGTCCAAAAAATAGGATGAAATGGCCGTCCAGTGCTTACAAGTTCTCTATAGTGGTCTAGCTTCGACTGACTCATGATCTCAACTGTTAAAATAATCCATTATATCCACAAAATCTCGTTCTGATATTATTCAACATATGTTCACTAGTGACTGACTTCACAAGGTATTTCCTGGAGTTCTAGTGAGAAGCAGTGACCAGTGGAGTTCAACCGGGTTTGTTGTGAGATACTAACTCACTGAAGACATTGGTGGATGTGTCGCTCAATTTCGTGAATTAGATGAAGTCAGACAGTAACACCGGTGAATGCCGGCAAGCTCAGTGGTTTAGGGGTCAAGCGTTTGCGTGAGATGTCCTGGGTTCGAATCTAGTGAAACGGAATCGTGGATGCGCACTGATGAGGAGTCCCATACTAGGACGGACTAGCCGTTCAGTGCTTCCAGGTTTTCTATGGTAGTCTAACATCAATTGACTCATGATCTCAACTATTGGATATACAATTATATAATGTCATCTGATTATAGTAGAGTTTGAAAAACCTTATTTTTTAAATTCCTCTAAATTATTATCTTCACATTCAACACGATGCATTCAGTTATTTCAATAAGTCAATAAATTATGTAACTGTTGATAAAATCAATAAAATGTTTTTTCCTTTAAGTGAGATATATAAATATAAAAACAGAGAGGTTTCACTTTAAAAAATTGTATCCCAAATATAATCTTTATTTTGTTTATTAAAGATATAAGTTAAGCTAACTTGGAGTAGTAACAGCATACTGACATATTTAATGATTAGTTTCTATGAAAATAAAAAAGAAATAAATTTTGTTAAATAAACGAAATACAAAAAATAACTTTATGCAACTCTTTGCAAAATTTACATAGTAGTATGTTATCGTTGCCAACAGAGTTATTCTTTTTTTTGTCTGTGGAAATTTTAGTTTGTTTAAATGAATATGTCTGAATTGCTATATTTTCTAAAAACGCCTATTTTACTTCGTCTAGAGATTCCAATTGATATCGCGTACTGTTTTATCAGCTGAACCAATGACTTATTTCTTGAACTGACACACTCATACTCACAATCAAGACTTCAACAGTTGTTGGTTCTCAAGCCTTTTCTAACTCAAATTCCTATCGGAAACTATAAATAGTAAGCAATTTTCGCCAAACAAGCTACCAATACACCGGTGAGACTGTAATTTATGGACGACCTTTAAGTGACACTGAAGTGACCTTGAGCGTGTCCACCTAGTAACTAGGACCAAATGAGGGATTAGAATTATGATGTTCAGTTGATGGTTACGGTTAGTAATTAGATTTTGGGTATTCATCACGAACTGACATCACCTATAATGCCAAAAATCTATCCAAATGGATAGTTGAGTTTGGCGCTAAAATCCAAGACCTGGTATCTTATACCGAATTGGTTCGTTCATAAATTATAGTCTCGCTACGTTATCTATAACATCGTTGGGAAATAAATAACGTCATAGGAAACTGATTCATTTATCCAATGAAATCGTTCTACTTTCTCTGTTAAATTGAACTACAATTTATAATGGTAGCATAAATTTGAATCAATAGTACAAGGATAAAACTGTTCATTATAATTTATTCAACATTTTACTAAAGGTAACTCATTTCACAATCATTTATAATCAGTCTTATAACAAAATTATTTACCCTCCAGTTTGAATATTAAACTATATTGAGAAAAGTCGTATAATGAAAGCATAATAAGAAATACCCCTGAATAATTATTGAGTTAGTAATTAATAAGAATAGAATTAAATTAATATAATACATTTGACCGGAGAGAAATACTGGATTTTGTAAACAAAGTGGACATAAATTAACAATCAATAATACTTGTAACTATTGAAACCCGTAAACTGGTATAGGTATGCATAAAAGTGTATAAATTATTTATTCCATTGAACAAAAAATCAGTTGTTTTCTATCACAAAATTTCAACCTAAACATATATCAGAAGGGGGTTTATAGATATTATAGTAATTTTAATAGTTGAGATCATGAGTCAATTGAAGCTAGACCACGATTAAAAACCTGGAAGCACTAGACGACCGTTTCGTCCTACCGTGGGGCTCCTCAACAATGCACATCCATGATCCCGCCACTTGCGATATTCGAATCCAGGACCTAACAGTCTCGTGCGCGAACGCTTAACCTCTATTTACCGAGTGTAATATTTTTTTTAATTTTTCGCCTATTGAGGTATATTAACCATACATATAACTTTATTTTTTAGAAAAATATGTTATAAATTAAACCAGCTATAAAGTCTTACATTTCTGCTTCATTTTTTTCTTCTGTTTGGAATCGTTCACCTACACTTCATATTCGTTATTATATCAGTAGTATATTACAGTAAATGTGTTTTTAGCTTACTTTAGGATAGATTTTTACTATTTACAGAAAATTAATTCATTATAAGCATACTGTAATGAAAAATACGACGTTTTTTAGAACTCATTTAGTGTTATGCACTTCGAACAGTGTAATCATGCATAAAATTGTTGTGATTTCTAAATGAAAAGGAAAAACATCCTAACAGCTGATCAAAGGAAAATGAACAGCAAAGTTAATAATGATCGCAAACATTATAGAACTTTGGATTTTAAATTAAGAATAAATTTTAACACGTTCCCTCATTCCTACATTTGTGTGTCTGCACACATAAATAAATAAAAAACAGCAGGATATGAGGTCCTCGTTAATACTACCCTAGATTTTCGTAAAAACAAAAGTTTTATCTTTTCGCTATTGAGAGAATAGAGCGCTTAATAAAGAGCACTAGTCGGTAATTGAAGCTTTTTAACACGAAGATAAGTGACCAAAAACTGAATGAGAATGTGATATAGGAATTAGTTCCTGAAACATCAATCATAGAAGATTACAACGTAATGAGCTCTGAGTTTTGTTTCCGTGTTACATGTAACAGACTTCACCCTCAGTAGTATCGTTTGCGTAAATATCAATAATTATATTAAATATGTCCATCATCAATCTTCTTTTAAATTAGACTGAACTATGATTATGAAAATTAAGATACTGACCTGTCCATATAGGATTTTGATGAATGGCACATTTCGTCGAAACTTTTTCTCCTAATATATATCTATGGTAAAAAGCTGTTTATACATCCCTTCTGCAAATGAGAGATTGATGTGCCTTAGAGTTATATAAAGTACCTTTATAAAGAAGCTCGCATCACTAGGCTTGTCATATATTGCTACAGGATCATATACGTACAGAATTGTAAAGACGCATATTGTCGATTAATCCATCAGATAAATGTTTAAAATGTAACATAAACATTAGTTAGAAAACAATCCAAAAGATCTACCTACAGTCACCTCACGAATCTGTCAAAATAACTCACAATCAAAAGTGAATTGAATTTGCTCAGGTAATAATAATGATAAAACTTTCATTTTTATAAGACAATGAAATGTTATTCTAAGATATCTAGTTATATAAAATATCAATAGTGTTTTTGAATGGTACATTTGTAAACAAAAAAATTACATCGAAAAAAACATTGTCATACTCATGATATTTACCCAATAATTAACCAGTTTAAAAATGTGTTTTGGTGAATATTTATACGATTTTGAGATGGTGCAGATTTGTAGATCAGGTGTGTGATTTTGATGGAGTTTTGTTCTCTGAGCTGGATGGTTTGGTTGTGAACCATTCATCGTTCTTCTGGACGACATCATCAGCACGAATTTCCGGGTGAAGTGAAATGTTAGGATGTCTTCACATGTTTTATTCCAAGAATATGAAGCCATATCTGTAAGCAATATTCACCAATTTTACTATAATCTAACTTTGATTATTTAAAGATATAAGGACAAGTACAAGTATTTGTTTATTGAAAACTTCCAAATATTTGAAACTGATTATTAAATCACCTTGATGTCCTGGATAAAAATTTAATCAAACTACTTATGCCTCTTAAATATGATAATTAGATTAGAATATCTGAAAATATATATGTTATCACTGATATAATTTGAATTAATTAAGTTGCTAAATGAACTGTTTATGAGAAATTTAAAAAGTAGAGGCTTTATTTTATATATTTAAATACAATAAAGTGAATTTTCATCATTTTATAACTTGCTTTAGATCAGCCCTCTATCGAATAAATAATTTAATAATTGAATTCATCAGTCAATTGAAGCTAGACCACCATGGAAAAATTGGAAGCAGTGGACGGCCGTTTCGTCCTAGTATGGGACTCCTTAATAGTGCACATGCATGATCCCGCTCCGTGAGATTCGAACCCAGGACCTATTAGTCTCGTACGTGAATCCTAACACCATTGAATGTCGGCCAGATCAGTGGTCTAATGGTTATCTTCAACCGATCCATGAAAGTGAGTGACAAATCCAGCATTGTCTTTAGTGAGCTACTGTCTCACGACAACGGCATCGTGAATGCACACTGCTGAAGAGCAGCATACTAGAACGAAACGGCCGTCTAGTGTTTCCAGGTTTTCCATGGTAGTCCACTTTCTGTTGACTCATGAATTCACCTACTAAATTACTATGATATTCACAAAAACCCCTACTCTGATTAATAAAAATTGTAATCATCAAAATACAAAAAACCTGAAAGAATTTTTTTAAATGTCTTTTACTAGCTAAATACATCTAGTAAACATTATTTCGTATTAAAAGAAATAACTTACGTTAAGTTGTCAATGTGTCAAATTTTCTTTGTTACAAATGATCAAAATTTGCCAATAAAGGTCTAATAAATTAATATCATTATTATTACTATTATTATTATATTCTTATTGATACTAATTATCTGCCAAGTTTAAAAGGAATAATAAGATTATGACATTTTGATGCAGTGAAATTATTTTTTTCATTCTGAAACTTTACAATTTTGACACGAATCGAGATCGCTTGAATTATATCTCGAAGAAAATCAATAAAGCTTGAAAATATGTTCATTTGAAATAGATGATTAATTTGAAATAAAGAAGTCTTCTTTTCAATATCGTACAGTTGTTATATATAAACCGAGTCTGTTGTAAGATAGTAACCCACTGAAGTTAATGGTGAATGTGTCACCCAATTTTGTGGATTAGTTGGAGTTAGACATTAACACCGTTGGATGCTGGCCAGCTCAGTGGTGTAGATGTTAAGCGTTCTTGCGCGAGACCGATAGGTCGTGGATCCGAATCTCGCGAGGCGGGATCGTGAATGCGCACTGCTGTGGAGTCCCATACTAAGGTGAAACGGCCGTTCAGTGCTTCTAGATTTCCCATAGTGTTCTAGTTTCGATCGACTCATGAATTCAATTATTAAATTACTACTATCTCTAAAAAACCTATCTCTGATATTTAAATCACTGAGAATTCAAATACTTTTCAATAGAAAATGTTTAACTCCACTGTTGATTCTTATTTTATCTATATATCAATTAAGAGAATTGACTTTAATAGTTGTTAGCCAACTTCTTTGTTCTAAGTTAGTCAGTATATCATCTCTTCTATAGTAAGTGTATATTAACTTTCAAATTGTATAAACGTTAGTTCGCTTCAACAAAATTTATTTAAATAAAAGAATTTTGAGATTGTACCATAAAGAATTGTTCATTCAACAAATCCAGTCACTGTCGTTGTTGTTAGTGTTTTTTTCCAAATTTATTTTCATTTATTTTGTCTTATAACATAGATTTTCAAGGTTGTGCAATCTATGGTTCGAACAGAAATTGTCACACTTTTGAAGTGACGTTTATCGTTTTTTTCTCTCACAATAGATTTGTACTGTAATGCAAGTCTTTCGAACGGTTTCATATATTTTATGTAATCGGTCAAGCTGAATACTGTTAATAGGTGATTATTATTATTATTGATATTGTTATGATAGTAGTTTCTGATAAGGTAAAACATTCAAATTTCCACCGGTAAACAGTTGAAAAGTTGCTTACAACAAAAGAGTACTTTTTAAACTTGGATTGATATTAATTTGGTTATTTATTCTCTGAAGAAGTGGCTTACACTGAGTCATGAAACGTCAGAAAATCTAATTTTTCTACTCATTGGGATATTACAAATATGTTATTTATTTATAGAGTATAAATTGTTATACGTAATTATCCAAGTTTATGTTATGGTCGAACAAACTAATTAATGAACAAATAAATCATTCTCAAATTACTGTAATATCTTCACGATCAAGTAAACTATGACAAAAGTTGATGTCTATAAATAATGACTAGGATAATCTTGTAGTTGTTATTTGTGAAAAATTTCTAATATGACGTTTTTGTGTGAACTGTTCAATTTGAAAACTGCTGATCTCAATCTCCATTATTGACAGATTCCTAATCTCACACTGATGACGTTCCCTATATTGCAACGAAATAGTTGTTTTCACTAGTTATTCAGCCAAAGTTAATCCGTGATATGAACTACAACAATTTAGATGTGCTATTATTTCTGGTCCGTAAATGAAAAAATCCTGAATTGTCCCAAAACGTTGATTGACAAAATTTATGAATAACTGTATTGAAATGTATATAAAAGTAGATGTAAAGAGAGTGATAATGAAGTTTATCTCTAAATGTTACGAAATAATAAAATTTATTCGCTGTCTCTGTCATGTTGTAAAAATCTAGAGTTGATATAAAGTAACGTTTAATGCAAAGGTACTCTTGAGTTAAAAATTCTTTTGTGTATGTTATGTATATTCAAAATCAAAGATTTCGAAATCCTAATAGTTTTGATCAACAGATAAATAGTAGAGTGAATTAATTTCCATTGCGTGTTATTGATAAAACATTTGAGTATCACCGTCCACTAAACTTCATTGTTTATAAAATAATAATGGCAAAACAATAATAATACCAGTTGTGTATACTGAAAATTGTGATATTATTGATTGTATTTTCGATCATGAATCTGAGTTCAATATGGTGTACGAGTTTCTGTCACTTTGGACCTCACCATCGTAATGTACTTGGAACTTAACTTTGATGTTCATACTGAGGATGAGACATATAAGTGATTGTTTTAAAAGACACTGAGCTAATAAATAACGATATCCGACAACTTGTCCAATCAGTAAAGTGATTACTGACATTATCTTCTGTATAAGTCCCTTTTCTGATTGTCGGCAATCGAGATTGCTTATCAACAGTGGGACTCAGGTATATCTAGTTGATGAATTCTCGACAAAACGAAAAACAAACCCTTTAACAAATGTTAGACATAATATAAGGTCAATATTTCAAAGAGTAAAAATGATAAATGTTTGAAGTTCCTTATCAAATTCACAGAAATAATCAACCATATTATTTAAAAGAATTTCAAGTAGTAGATAAAATAATTTCAGATTCGATTTTATTTAATAGCTCATTTAAATCTTTTCGAAATTTCAGAAACTCTTTACATCCATTATTGAATATCAGATTTCATATTCATTGAAAATAGTTACTGATATTCATTGTTTTGATAAAGAAACATTATGAATGATAGTTTGATTGCAGTTAAAACGATCAATCCAACATGGAACGAAAAACGTCATAAATTTCTAATAATTTTAATAGTTTTTGGAATGATTTCAAATATTGTTCTCATAGTTATTGTATCTCTAACAAAGAGTTTAATTAAAAACAGTTTCAGACGTTCATCACGAAAATGTGGTAAGTATTAATACTTCATTTTCATATTTTCATAACATGTTAGTTATTAATCAATAATGATTTTAAATAAACATTAACCTCTTTTTTATTCACTTGGTGTTGTTTTACTTGTATCTTCCAATTGTTATTTAGGACTGCTACTGATCAGTCTCTTGTTGGTATATGTGCATCCTATGCGGACTGCCTCGATATGACCTGAAGTCACAAGCTTTATAAGCAAAGATGGATAGTGGTTAGCAGTGGAGTCCAGGACACGCATTTTGTCCTAGTTAGGACTCGTCAGTTGGATATACCTGCATCAAATGCAGTCCTACATAACGATTCAAAGATACGAGTAGACAACACCAATTGAATATAACTTTACCCCATTGCATAAGCAAGTGGCTACCAGAACTCAGTGGCTAAGTGGATAAGCCCATGGCATTCGAAGCGAACGCTACTGGGGTCGAGTCCCAAAATGAACATCAACCCTGCGATGCAGGTATATTCAACCGACGAGTCCCAAATAGGCCGAAACGCACATCCTGAGTTTCACTGCTACCCACTAACCATCTTTCATTAACCTCTTTTTATTTACTAAGTTATGTCCTAAAAGCAACGGTATTGTTGACAATGTGAAACGGGAGTATTTATTTTGTTTTTAATGAACTTCAAGGCTACGCGGTTGCCCGATAGGAATATCATTAAAAGTCTCATTTTATAATCTAAATTCCACTGTATTTGTGTATCCAAAGTCCAAGAAAGATCTATAAACTGGTCACGTTATTCAGTCGATTATCTACTTCTATTCCTTTATTGCTTTTCGGAAGCATCTGACGGAAAGCGCGGAATATGACGGACAACTTGCATGCGACTAGATGATTTGGACTTCATGGATGACCTGGTTCTTCTGTTCCTTACACACGAGGAAATGGGGATGAAGATCACTAGTGTAACAGCAGCCTCTGTCAGTAGGTCTCAACGTGCACAAAAGGTAAACCAAGATCCTACGACACAACGCAAAGAACGCCAATCCAATCACACATGATGGAGAAACTCTGGAAGAGTTAGAACCTTTCACGAACCTGAACAGCATAATCGATGAACAAGGAAGATCCGATGTAGACGTAAAAGCGAAGAATGGCAAAGCAAGGACAGAATTCCTACAGTTGGAGAACATATGGAACTCAAAACGACTTCCAAGCAATATCAAAGTCAGGATCCGTTCAGTAGACGTCTCAAGTGACAAATATACCTTTGGTGTATACAAGATTAGGTGCACATATTTCAAAACAAGTCTTTTTGAAAGAATATCCAACACTTTTAAGGCCGAAACGAGGGATTCACTTAAATTGTACTAATAGTAATGTACTACTAAAATTATTCGTATTAAGTATACAATGTTTACAATTTTAATCGACTTTATGTATGTTCTGTTGTCTGATTGAAAAGTACTAATCAAATTAAAAGCTTAATTCGCTTTAATTTTCGGTGAAGTGAGAAATTCAATCAACAACAGTTTTAGAAAACTGTAAGACAATCCAAGTGACCAGTGGAGCTAATCCTTGTCGGGTAGAGACAAGTATCTACCTCAGTACAACGGAAGTTGGTCGCGCAATTTCGTGGATTGGTTGATGTTAGAAACTATCACCATTGGATGCCGGCTCAGTGGTCCAGTTGGTTAAGCGTTCGCGCGCGAGACCGAAGGCCCTGGGTTCGAATCCCGCGAGCGGGATCGAGGATGCGCACTGCTGAGGAGTCCCACAGTAGGACGCAACGGCCGTCCAGTGCTTCCAGGTTTTGAATTGTGATGGTCTAACATCAATCGGTTCATGATCTCAATCAAAAACTTAATAATCTCCACAACTCCTATTCTAGTAAATGAATATTTAGTAGTGGAATTCAAAACTCGCGCTTCGTCCTCTCTATGACTTGTAAGCTGGATGTACTTGCATTCCAGAGTTGATGTTCACAAGTAAATACAAAATCTGACTAAACTTTACTAAAAAACATATTCATCCATTAAAGCACAGTATTGGTACTGTGTCAAGTTTACAAAACATTCGGTAATATTAGTCAAGTTTTATCTCTTTCAGAAAACACGTGGATTAACTGATGAAACCAAATCTATCTTCATCATTCGACCACTAACAATCCACGTATTGTCAAGTACACTACTATGGTGAGGACTCACAGAAAACAAAATTAAATAGCCTAACCAAGTATTCTATAAACATCTGTTAATTATACATAAGAAGGCATAATTCGAAAACAATAATCAAGAAAGGTCCATATTTATTCTGTTATTAATGGTTCACAGTGTGTCTGCGTATTCTACCCTTACTTACAGCAAAAAAAGTTGTTGATAATTATACTGTAACAAAAGTGTTGCTCTCATTTGTGCCTTACCTTCTTTAGTTCACTAGTTTTCTCTAGCTAACTTTAAAAAACCAATGTGATTCTAAAATAACTGCTGATACAGGTTATTTTTAGAGATTGCAGTATTTTCGCAGGTGAAATCACGAAATAAACTTAGCTTGACAATCATTGGATACCTGCAAGTACTGGCCTTCACAGTATTGCGCATCTACGATGCCCCAAGCCGGGATCAAACGCAGATTTTTCGGTCTCAGGCATGAGCACTTAAACCAATGAGCCAGTATTCAACACTGTTAATGTCTAAGTTCAGTTAATCCACGATCTTGCTGTATCATTCGCTCATGAGACAAATGTCACTTTATTCGATATCCGTTCGCGGCGTCGTGAACGCTCAATACTAAAGAGTACCATACCGAGACGAAACGGCAGATCCATGCCCCCAGGCTTTTATTGGTGGACTAAGATCACTTCATGATCGTGATTGAGAAAATTGTTTAAAATCACAAACGTTTGTTGCAATTTCGATTTAAACTTTGGTTTATTTGTAGTTTGTATTTTCCAGACAAAACGTATTTAGAGAAGAAAAACAAAACGTTATGTTATTATTATGATAAATTAGGAAAACAAAACAAAAAACATGAAACAAATAAGCACAAAATATTTTCATAATATTATAATTTTTATTAATAAGACAAATCGATAAGTTTTCGAAATCATGTGGAAATTATTAGAAAAAAAAACAACTTTTTTTGAAAGATGACGTGATCTCCTAGACTTTGTTGTTTAGTCTGATCATAATGTTTATTAAGTGAACCTTGTTTCTCGGTTTCATGAATGAGAAGAATAAACAACTATTACTTTTAAAGAGGTAGTTATTTTTCGTTTTGCGTGGCTAAAGGTGATCAGGAGGAACATAGGAACCTGGACTAGTTGCTAATTGAAACTCGTCAAGAAGATTTATCTAACATCTGGAACGAACTGATACTCAATAATTTTGTTCGAGTTCCATTGGTCATAGTTATCAACTAACTCAAAGAACAAGGTGCAATAAAATATTTGTTAGTGCTTAGCGATTATTCACCATAGATAGCTGTTGTCTTTACTCTGAAACGTGTTGAAATAAACCCTTTGTATTTTCAACAAAGACCTCTCTACTCAAATTTCAGAACGGTTACTATGACTACTTTGAAGATTTCGAATTAATATCCCAGTATGAACCTCGTTTAGTATTTTTGAAATGTTTAGCCTTTAAGCTTCAACTTAACTCTGCTTGCCTGGAATAAAAAAAACACTGATGAAAGACACCTAAAATAAACATGTCTAATCAGTATTTAAAAAAGCCAAAAAACAGTTGATCTTGTTCATTACAGCTCAAGGTTAGCGATACTGTCTTAGCTAGAAGCGTGAATAAGATTCTTCTAGTTCCTGTTATTGTAATGTTTTGTGTAAGTTTGAAGTCTATTGAAATGAAATTGTCAGTTTTGTTTTTTGTATTTCAAGTCTTCACCAAAAATAAGCTCTCGCCTGTTTGTATGTGCTAGTTTTCCTGTTACTTCATGAAAAGGGGTACTAATAATGACCAGTGTTCACATTCAGTTCCTATATGCAACGCGTTTTGTTAATGAGGGATTAACACCCCGGGCGAAACACAGAACCAAGTGAGGTTTTATCTCAAACGTTGGTTCAGATGCAAAAAAGAGTTTCTATAGACTTATATGGAACGTGGAGGTTATTACTATTCAGTCAGGATAGTAACAATGTATTTAGTTATCTTCTAGAGCTTTTCCTTTGGAAGTCCCTAAACAAAGCTTGTTACTCAAGGTATTTTCAAAATTTTACGGTTTCTAAATACTTTTTCAAGAGGTTATCAAGACTCTAACAATATGGCGTCATTCGGTTTTACAAGGCCGAATGGAGAGTGGTTAGGAGTTTGACTGATGAAAATTTACCAAGTTCAGAAATTTGTTTTCTAAATCTTTCAAGATGGAACCGTTTGCGACGTTTCAAATAACAGGCAATTCACTAAATCATGATATGACATCTTACCTGATTTAACACAAGAAAAATCTCTTAACTTCATACTTATTGTCTGCATAGTTCCTCTTTTTATTCTTCATGCTTCTGCTTGCAAAAGAAATCTGCGAAAGCAACTCAAACATCAACTTACAATTGATCCAGTAGCTTTAGCTAATTGGTCTTTTACTACCAATTATTTTAATGAGATTGATTCCGTTATTTTAACTAGCTAATTTCGTTCACATAACAATCCATGGCTAGTTGGCCTCATTATTTCGATTATTAACGTCATATAAATATTCCTCGCTCTTCGTTATGATAATTTACAATTTATGACTTGGAATTACAAATCATATTTTAAATTTATTATGATTATTGGGTGCATAAATTTCCTTACACACATGGAAAAACATATTTGGCAAATGTCTATTCGCTGAAGTTACACTAGTTTCAGTGACCAGTATTTCGAATTATTCTCGTGTAATGAATTTATTTCCTACTGTCAAATACTTTAGGCTTACATAACTAAAGATACCAAACTTATATGATCAATTTATGATTTCTGAACACACTCATAATACAAATGAGACAAGTTTGAGCGTATCAATGAAAATGTGGGGAGGCATGTATGAACATGAACAATTTCTGTAGTTCAAGTGTTGCATACACTTTTTTTCACCCGGAATCCTTCTTTATGAATATTAGATAAAATGCAAACTAAGCTTTATTATCATTTGCACTTACAATAGACCAAATAGAATTTGTAATGTATTGTTGGTACCATTTCCTAAACAAAAATGAATTACTTCACTTTTGCACAAAGGCCTTAATTACTGTCCATAATGTTTTTGAAATTAGAACATCATTCAATGTAATAGAGGATTACTATTTTAGAGATAATGTCAAAGTCTAGAAAATAATATATTCAATGCTTCGGATCCCTACATATATATAATCTATTTCCAAAGTGGTAGATGACACCGCGTGTCACGGTATAATTAGAGCTTCTGAATAGTAAGACTGATTGTGGTATCAAAGAATTTAATTGAAATGAGATTATATCCAATTACCAATGTATCTTAATGATTGTTGTCTAATAATGTATTGTATATCTTTAGGTGAAATAATAAGATCAAGTGATAAATCTCTTCCACCAAAACATATACTTCAATCTATAATATTATCAAAATGTTGTACAATTTCGAACGATGAAAAAGAGTTCATCATTCAATCCAAGTCGACACATTCCTGTTGTGAATTTGAAATGAATTGGGGTTGTTGTTATTACAAGACTCAATGTCATAGTCATTGTTTCTCAACTTCATCTATAGTCACTCCAGTACCAACTACTATAGAGTTGAATATTTTATCAAGTCATCGAAATAGTAGTTATGCTGATGATTCTGTAACAGAAATTCCAGAAAAATCAGAAAATCTATCTATTAATTCAAAAACAAATTTAGATCAATACAAGTTAAATCAACCATGTGAAATAAATAAATCTTTTTTTCGAAATACAAATCAACACTTAACAAACTATGAACAATATTCCAATTCTAATATGAATGAATCAAACTTAAGTGATATGAAATCAAATCAAGAATTAACACTACCTAGTACATCAATCCATTACTGTCATAGATCTTTATCTTCATTTCCTAATGAACAAACTATTCCAGATCTTGAACAAACTGCATGGTATATTTTATGTTTTTTAATAGAAATTTTAGCATTTGCACAAATTGGTTATTTACTATTTGAAGATCTGTTACCATGGATATCAAATTTATTAATATTTTATTATAATTTTAATATTAAATTAAAATTAAATATTAATTGTCGTTTAAAACGTATGTTTGGTACATTTTTTTTATTATTTGAAGAATGGTGTCTATTTCTATTTGGTATTGAACGTGTTTATAATATTTATTTATTAAATCACTATGGATTCAATAAAAATACCCAATCAATAATGAATGAACGTAATCGATATAAATTACATTTATTAAGTATAAAAATTTGTACAGGTTTATTTATTGCAATTATATTCTCTGCATTATGTAATTATTTATGGGTATTTGGACAATTTCATTGGATTAATTCAATTAATTTAATGAATCAAACATATAATATCACATTGATAGAAACGGTTACATGTAATGTAAGATCAGAATATTTTAAATTTTATTATTCATTTCTTATTTATTTAGATCCATTATTTTCATTTATTATACCACATTTATGTTCATTATTATTTATTATGATTATTCTATTACATTATTGTCTTCAATTTATTTATCGACGAGTTCAAAGAAATTCTACAATACAAACAACTAAAATATTAACAGAAGATGATTATTTCAATAGATTATCATCTTATAGAAGCTTTAATACTTTCTATATAATGATTGATCATTTGACAACTATCATATATCTTCTTGATAGTATTATTATTGTGATATTAAAATTATGGCGTAATATTGAAAAATCAGTAATGGTATATTTTCATATTACATTCAATATGAATTATTATATGATTAGAAATGAATTGTATCATTTAGAATTATGTTTAATACCTGTAATAACAATAATAATCTATTTAATATTTCATTATAAAATAAGAAAATATTGTAAATAATCATAATCATAATGAACCCTCTTGAAATTTTGGATTAATATACTTTTGAAAAGAGAAAGAATAAAGATTCTGACACTTTCAACGATTTTTCAACATTCTACTTAAACAATATATAAAGAAGGAATGAATCAACGGGAACGATCTCCTTTCAATCTGTATATATGATTTATAATAATAATAAAATAATATTCATCGAGTGGATACGTTTCATATTAATTATATAATGATATATCGATTATAAATTAGAAGAAAGAGGATTAATCATCATTTAAAGTTGCTAGATTTTCGAACAATTACTTTGATTATGATGAATCCTCTTTCTGCCAATTTATAATCGATATATCATTATATAACTATTACGAAACGTATCCACTCAATGAGTAATATTTTATTATTTTAAATCATATGTATATAGTAGTACAAAGCCATGATGAGTAACTAATTGAAACTAAATCTCTTCGCTTGATTCGTTTCTTCTTTATTTACCGAATGTCAAACTGAGAATTTTTACTAAATTTATATATATATATGTATGTATTTTTGATTGAATGTACGAAGAAAAAAACAAAAACAAAGTATTTTATTTGACTGAGTTTATTTGACTGTTTTCCATTCGTGTCTCTTCTCAATTCTAAATAAATGGATATGACCAGACTATAATTTATAGATGATCTGTGAACGAAACTTAAGTGTCCTTGAGAAATAATAGCCAATCAGAAGACAGTATAGAATAAGAATATAATATACAGAATCAAAGAATTAAGGCGGATACACTTCTGTTACATGGTTCAAAAAACGTGTTAACCTTAGAAAGAGGTGCAGAGCTTCTAAAATCCTAATCCATACAGTAGAGGAAATCACCCATATGGCTCAATAATAGTCGGCCTCTCGAGCCATGAAAAGGTGGTAAAAACTATTTCAGCCTTGATCACACCGCTTCACTATTGGTTGTGTGTACTCCAGTTGTTTGGTTCACGATGCACATAAACGAGACTATGTAGCCATCTGTACTTCCTCCAATCATTTGTATATATATATTGTAGTACCTGGTGGCAGCTAGTGTTAATGGTGATTCTATTATCCAGCTGGCAACAACTGTCATAATTTGCCTTAGTCTCAATCTGGATAGTGCGAAAAATATCTTATTGTAGCAGACTTCTTCCTCCAACACATATCATCATCACGGTAGTCTGTACAAGGTCCACAAGTCATTTGATTACCACGATCACAAATAAGGGAACTTCTTAGTAGTCCCATTTATTGCAGTCGCTCATTCATCACGTTTTCTCTAAAATTTACTGTGAACTGATTGTACGTGAACATCAGGTACTGAAATTGGCGCCGTTACCTTCAAACATTTCTGACTGGCTCGTTCATAAATAATAGTCTCATCACAGATATTTTATCAAAAAGGTTTTTGTGGAGATCTTGGTAATTTTATAGTTGAATTCATGAGTCAAATGTAGCTAGACCACCATTAGAAGCCTTGAAAGCACTGTACAGCCATTTCGTCGTGGTGTGGTACTCAACAGTGAGCATCCGCTACTTAATGGCCGTCCAGTGCTTTCAACTTTTCCATGGTGGTCTAGCTTCAATTGACTCATGAATTCGATTACAATAAAACACAGATATTTCCCAAAAAAGAAACATTTACAGCAAAAAAATTCAATAAATTTAACTGTCTACATAGTAGATATGTAAAGATAAAATTAATTTAAAAAAACACTTGTCACTATTCCCTGCAAAATCAGTAAAAGTTTGTAAGTACTGGAGAGGTATTTTATTTTACCTTTGGGGCCTCAAAGCAGTGAGCACCTCAGTCTGAGAAGCGAACGTTGGCAATATCTATCTTATCCTCAAATATCTCTTAACTTTACCATTCGTTGTGATAGTCGCTAAATACATAGTTTGTGGGTTCATTTATATATAAAACAACAGGTTCTAACCGTGTAGACGTTTTAAATATAAGCTACATAACTGACTACAACTTCCTCGTTCTTAATGGTTCATCGAACAAAGAAGACTACATTCAAATGAAATTATATTATGGTGAGTTTAAATAAGAATATGCACATATTAGGCGTTCAGTACCGTTTTGGATTTTAATATTTCTGAAGCATAAGTGTGTAAAAACTGATTTACGGCTATATCGAATAGATAGATGCTAGCTAGCATTCGAGTTCAGGACACGCGTTTCGATCTGTTTGTGACGTGTAAGCTAAATGTACCCGAATCCTAAAGTTGATATTCATTTTAGAATATAAACCTATTACTTTTTCTTCAAACTCCAACACCTTATTAACCTAGCTGTTGAGTGCAGATAACCGTTAACTTGTGCAATTTGTATGAAGTTTAATTTTTTTTAGTGCTTTAGATTATTTCAGTATTAATAATTTGACAAAATGTTAAACATTCCAGATGGTAAATGTCCATCAATTCAGAGATGCAGATTAATCCTGGTGGAGACTCCAAAATAAGATGAAATACATATCCATCTTTCCACTGCCGGTCACATATCTGTTTTGTATATAGCTGTATATATGCCAACCAAAGCCGATAAAAATTCAATTAAAATATCAACAATGGAATAAATTAATTCCTTACTGATTAAAAAAAGACTAGTTACCAGTTAAAAATTGGCTATCATTAAAGAACAAATATTTTTACGACTAATCTTTACAAGTATTTCTCATTTACTAAACTAGAAGTGAAAAAAGAAATGTAAATTTTCATTAATTCATCTCCAAAAGTCAATAATTGTCGTTACACTTAATTACACAGTGTTAACAGCTAGAAGTAACAATGAAACAAAATTAACAGAATGTTAAGAAGACTTCTGAGAATTGTTCATAATCACGTAATTATAAGTTACAAAAAATTTCTTTTGTAAACGTCATCTTATGATGATTTGAATTGTTTTTTCTGGTTAGCGTTCTTTTTAACGAGTTTGTTTTCTACAGGATGGGGTTGCTAACACCATGCCCAACCCTCTACCTTTATTCGGGCGTGAAACCGGCAGTGGCTCCAGAAGGGCTCCAGGCAGAGTCGTCATCTTATAATGCTTTCATTTTAACAAGAAAAGAAAATCTTATTATGTAACTGTCAACAGAACGAACATACTACCAAAAAAATAAAAAATAAAAATAAACCATGAAGCCTGTGAATTATTATCCATCAGATAAAGTAGTTTCCTATATGATAAAAAATCAACCTAATAATTACAACTAATTACTTTCAAAGAAGTATTTACAAATTAGTTAATATGAACATTAAATATCTTTAAGATGAGATGAATGAATAAAAGAATACTTTTATAAATACTTTATAAGTTTTTGGATATATCGTTAAGTTTAACATTTTAATATTCACAGTTACAACTGGACTTGTCCTACAAATAACTGTATTTTCGTTAAAATAAAGCTTTTCAATTCATTCACCACTAATTGTAATCAAAATGTGTTCGGTTTCCAAGGGTATAAATTATTTATGCACAAATCAGGGTATAGTAGCGATAGCCTTTTGATATAACTTCTAATTGCTTCTTATAAAGCGTTTTAGATATAAACATTGTTATCTATCAATTAACATAAAATCGCCTACCTTTCACCATGGAGATTGTTACTTACTTAATTACTAACCCTGTGTACTCCTCGCGAAGGAGCATAGGCCGCTCACCAGCATTGTTATTCAACGATAATTGCGTTTGACCTCCATTTACTCGTAACACAATTCTCCTATTTCGAATATGACTATATGACCTAACCAAAGACGGAAAAGACGGGTAGATTTATACATCTCAGTACAACTATTCTCATACTGATTTTATCTCTAATGATTAGTAGTTTAATTCTAGACTAATTTTTGAACATCTATTTGTAAAGAACATCTATTTGTAAAGAACATCTATTTTAATCGTTGAGATCATGAGTCAATTGAAGCTAGACCACCATGGAAAACCTGGATGTACTGGACGGCCGTTTCGTTCTATTATGGGACTTCTCAGCAGTGCGCATTCACGATCCCGCCTCGCGAGATTCAAACCAAGGACCTATCGGTCTCACGCAAGAACGCTTAACATCTACACCACTGAGCTGGCCGGCATCAAACGGTGTTAATGTCTAACTTTAACTAATCCACGAAATTGAGTGACACATCCACCATTGTCTTCAGTGAGTTACTATCTCACAACGGACCCGTTTTAACTTCACTGCTCACTACTGGTCACTGAGCATTGCTGAGGAGCCCCACAGTACAATGAAACGACGATCCAGTGCTTCCAGACTTTCCATGGTAGTCTAGCTTCAATCGACTCATGATCTCAACCATTAAAATTACTATAATATCCATAAAACCTTTTCTGATATCGAATATCTTATTAATTTAAGTTACAATTTCAGTATTATCATTGGAATAATATACTGCAATTTGCAATCATAAAATTATTATATATATTTCACTGAAAAACTTTATTAAATTATGTTGAGATTCAACTACTTTTTTATATTGAAAAATGGACTTATTTTCACCTCAGTTCATCTTTAGATTTGATGATATTGACGTTACTCGATGTTACCGTCAAAAACATTTCGGTAATTTAAGCTCAAGTTATCTGTTTACACTTAATTTAACGTCTTATTTTATTAGCATAATTCATTTAAGCATTAACAATTTATATAAACTAAATGAAGTTTAACGATAGGCTTTAGCCTAGTGTAAATTCGTATTGATGGTGATTATTGATATAAACATTCATATGCGATGCACAAGCGATTTAAATTTACTGGATGAATATTTCGATGTAAGAAGAATCATAAAATAACGCAAAGTTAGGTTTTATGTATCTCTGCAGCCAGAAACTGTTGTTTATGTTAACGTGTTCTCTTGCTTAACACACTATAACTCGAGAAATATTAGAAACCAAAGGTTATTCAAGGAAACACTATGTGCTCGTAACAGCCATCCGGTGCTTCCTTATCTAGCTTCAATTGACTCATGATCTCAAATATTAAAATGATTAAATTAATTAACAGGTAACTTTTAAGCTCAATTTCATCGTCACTACAAATTGATGGTATAATAAGTTTTACGGAAGTTACAATTTTCAAATATTTGTATAAACAACAGTCTCTATGTAATTACTAGATGTAAAAATCTTCACACTTTGAATTTTGAAAGTATAGATGATCTAAAACTGATTTGAAACACGTCTTGAATAATATCTCATTGTTTAAAGAAACATAAAAAGTTGTATTGTAATAAAATAAATCAGATCTTGATCCATAGAGATCTAAGTAATAATAATTCATATGTAGAAAACAACATATTTGTAACATTCTATAAAAACTGAAATAAGTTAGGATTCTATTTTTAATTATGTGTTTAACTTAGAAATCTCCATTAAAGGTGTTAGAATAAAAAAAAATTATTAGGGATGAGTGATAAAATAATTGAGTGACGTTCAGAGACAGATAAGATAAATTGTGTGATAATTTAGAGGTAATGAAGGGTTTGCATAAGATTCATTGAATTGAATAAAAAACCTGGTAAGATAGGTTACGTAGTAATTGAACAGGATTTGAAGAGTTTACATTATTTAAGAAAATAAAGTAAGTGGGAATGTATGAGTGATAGAGTGGTTTGAATGTACATAAGATAAGAATTCGGTAAGG